TTAATTCAAAGTATGAAAGTTTTATAAATTGATTTTTGAAACCAAATATGAATTTTTTTTTGAAAATAAAAGGTGTTAATGTAAAAATCTCACAAATTATCTGGGTCTTTTAATACTTTAAAATTCTATATTCAGTAGCTCAGTATTGTAAGAAAACTCAAATGAAAGAAAGTTAAGCAAATAAATATATTTGCTGAATATGCTTTTGTCAAAATTTCCCTTAATTTTTTCTGCAAATTTCATATTTTCAAGATATAATTAACATAACAGTATATACCATCCTATATGGCTTGTTTCTGTGTACAGCACAGGAGAAAATGCAATAAAGTATTGATTTTTTAAAAAATCAGAGAAAAATTTCCAAAAAAAGATCTACACGTTCGTGATGTACCATAATAAAAATGTACTTTTCTTGTAGATTTGCTATAATCTACAATTATTACTGAAAAAAGGCAGCAGGAAAACTGAGCAAGCGAAATGAGAAAAAAATTACCAAGATAACCCAATAAAACATAAAGACATACCTTAGGTTGGGCAGAGATAACATTAATTACCACTGTTACAAAGACCACACGAACATAGGACTGGGTAAAGTTCCGATCAAAACAAAGGAATCTATCGCTTGATTCCGATCAGCCACTGAGTGGGTGCTCTCAGGCATAGCAGCCTATCGACTACAGAAACTATACAGAGAAAAAACTCCGACAATTTAAACTTAGGAAACCGGCCTAATCTCTACAGGACCAATGCCTCTTAATCCACGGTCATAAGAAGATTATTCTGACAATTATTACAGGGGGCTTTCCGGGCAATGCCCTGACCTTTCTGTAGCCATATTTCTATCAAAATGAAATTTGAATAGACATAAAAGTGAAGAAAAAACGGGAAAAAACTTGAAGAGAAATTTCCACCCATCTTGTCTAATCAAATGCTAATCATTTTTGAAAGCCTTTCTTAATTTTGGTAGATAAATATTAAGAGTAAAGATGCTAACCCAACAGTGCTGTCAGGAATAGTTTATCAAAGCCCAATCTTCTAATAAAAGTTCCCTACAGTTTGGGAAAAAATATCAACAATCTGAACTATTCCCGATTTTCTACATCGTTATTTCATCAACAACTTCAAAGAACGATATAATTAAAAGTTGAATATGTTTTTATCCAAATGAAATGGTTGTACTAAATCCAACAGCAATAAATGAAAATATTGTTACACATACATTAAATAACATCTGATTTACTAGATGTAAGTTAAATACCCTGTACCTAAACCCTATAGTTTTCTTACATTGCAAATTGAACATAAAGACATTGTGTCTTATAATTCTCTTAAACTGACAATGTCCAATCCATGCCCCTGCAGGCCCACTTTGCTCACCTGAGAGCTGAGGAATATCAGGTCAAAAGATTCTAATAAATTTAAATTTAGAATAGTCAATATTTTTTCATGTAAACCTTATCAAATATTATGGAATATAAAGTTTGGCAATGTCTATTTGTTTGTGTGTCTGTTTATCTGCATGTTGGCAAAAACTTTAATCTTGCCCAAAATTTTTGATTGGTTAATGCTCTGGCTTTAATATTTCACATATGTATTCCTTGTGACAATACCTTTCTTGGAGTTTAGATATATATTTTACCTCTTGACTTATAAGTTTGATAAACTTTTGCAAAAATTATGCAACTTTATTCTTGGCTAAAACTTTTGTACAATTCGTGCAAGGGCTGTCATACTTCACATGTGTATATTGTGGTAAGACCTTTCTTTACTTGTTTATAAATATTTTTGATCTTTTGACCTTGACCTTAGATTTCATCCACTTTTTATATACTTAAACTTTGATCCAAAGATGACTTTGGTTATAACTTTTGAACAATTATAACAGGGATTTCATGTTTCACAGGTTTATTCCTTTATAATCCTTATGACATGACCTACCTTCGGATTAGAACAAATTTGAATTTGGAATTTGGTTTTTTTTTGGTTTTTTTTGGAGAAACTTGCGCCTTAGCCATAAATTTTTAAAAAACTGGTTTTGGACTTTAACAAGCCCTTCCTCTGGGTATAAATGATTTTGACCCTTTGACCTTGACCTTGGCATTTGATCTATGTACGGGGGGTTGGGGGGATTCCTTCTGATCATAAGTACATGTAATAAAAACTATTAGCTCTAGGGTAACAAGAAGGTGTCTTCTCCTTGAGGTGCAGTAGGGAAGAGGTTAGAATTTACTGGGTGAGTGTAGCAGGGAAGAGGTTAGAATTGACTGGGTGAGTGCAGTAGGGAAGAGGTTAGAATTTACTGGGTGAGTGCAGTAGGGAGGAGGTTAGAATTTACTGGGTGAGTGCAGTAGGGAGGAGGTTAGAATTGACTGGGTGAGTGAAGTAGGGAGGAGGTTAGAATTGACTGGGTGAGTGCAGTAGGGAAGAGGTTATAATTGACTGGGTGAGTGCAGTAGGGAAGAGGTTAGAATTGACTGGGTGAGTGCAGTAGGGAAGAGGTTAGAATTGACTGGGTGAGTGAAGTAGGGAAGAGGTTAGAATTTACTGGGTGAGTGCAGTGAGTGACTGGGTGAGTGCAGTAGGGAGGAGGTTAGAATTTACTGGGTGAGTGCAGTAGGGAGGAGGTTAGAATTGACTGGGTGAGTGCAGTAGGGAGGAGGTTAGAATTTACTGGGTGAGTGCAGTAAGGAGAAGTGTGAAGTAGTCTATCAATCTGAGGAATCAGCTGCTTGCTTTCTGAGGCTGATTGATTTATAAATGAATATAAATGATTTAGTGATCTCTCCCATTTCCCGCTCATTATAGAGTTCTCCTAGCAAGTCAATACTCATCCATCATGTACAAAATGAACCCATCAAGTACAGGGGGGTGAGAATTCCCGTAAAAAAGGGAGGAAGGTTTCATAATGTATTCACAGTGGAGCTCTTGTAGACAAGCCAGGGTCAATTCCTGGCTCCCCGATCAGCTAATCCATCACTGTCATTACAGCAGTAGCAAAGGAAACTGATGACTCCCCAGAACTGATTAGATAGGTGTCAAGTCTTGTTTTATAGGTGTGATTGCAGTAACTTAATATTAATGGTATCCAGAGAGGAAAGTTTTATAAAATGAGTTTCTTAATTACAATGATGTGCATGCATACACTTTGAGAAAATCAATCAATTTTTTTTTGGTTTGATGTACTCTGGCTCCATTTTTTCAAGATGCATGCATGGGTAGAAAAATTTCTGTGGTTTCTTTTTAAATCTTGTACACATGCAAATAATCATCATAAAAATCATTGATTTATAAATATTGAGGGTTTTATAATACACATACAGAAAAGCCAGACAGATTTTACATTTATTACTGTAAAAACTTTAAATGCATGTTACAAAATCATAAAACCTTATAATATATAAAGGATCAAAGCTTGAGATAACTGAGGGCCCACTGGGCCGTGAACAGTCAATATGGATCCAGGCTAGAGCTTTGTAAAAAACATGTTTCTTTGGGACCAGTGATTATTTACTTCATATCAAAATTCACTCAAAATCAGGCTAGTTACCTAGACAGTTTTTTACTTTGTTAAGTTGCTCTAATTAAGAAAAAAGCCATGTCAATTCAATTAAATATTTCAATTGTCTTGATCAAAATATTTGTAATCTTTGTAATGTTTTCTGAATGCTGCATCACCAATGTGCAAAAAGTGAACATTTTACATCTCAAGTCACCTTAAATTATCCTCTTGCAGGCATTATAGACACAAGTTTTTACTATAGGTAAAGGTTGGCCTGGTAGTGTTTGAGTGAAAAAAAGGTAATAAAATAAGTTTATCCTGCAGATATACAATGGTGCAAGAATGTTTTTAGATTTTGATTTTAGCCCTAGGGACAACTGGGATTGGTAAAAAAAACTTTTTTTTTCTTCCCCCCCCCCCAAAAAAAGGTTCCCTGAAAGACTCGAATAGTTTTGCATAACTAACCAACTCATCCTTTGAAATATGGCTGGTGGTGTCTTGCGCCTTTGCAATAGGGTTTTAGAAATCTGATTTGTCACTGTGACTCTGTGAGAGGTAAAAAAAATGAATTTCTTATTTAACAAAAACCTAGTTCCTTTAAATTCTCTTACATTCTTCTAAGTAGCGGCTAGCCCAATCATAAGAAGACATTAAGCGGTACATTTAGGTTTCTGAATTTCGATTTTGATCCTGCATTCAACTGGAGGTTGTAAACTTGTCATTTATAGAATTATTATGGCTTCTTCCTTCGTTACTTAAATATGAGGCCGAGTAAAAAGAAGCAAACTTCTAAGTCGGGGTGTAACTCTCATATGACAGCATCTCGTTTGGGGTCACTTTCATATTGAAATTGTAAAAAAAAAATTAATATAATTAAAATAATGTTAAATTGTAAAATCATCTTGAAATGCACTGTGCTGACACCGTGCTAAAATTCAGTCTTATGTTAGTCTACTTGTAACAGAGAAGTAGAAAATGTGACAAACCAGACCAGAATTCAAACCTAAGCCCGTAAGAAATGTTGAATCTCCAGTCAGGTGCTGGAGACAACACAGAAACTGTTAATTCTAATTAAAAGACTGTGTAGAATGACCCCAAAAGTCCATTTATGAACATTTGAGGTCAATGACATACATTCACTTTTTTTGAAGAGAATCTATCTAAATATTCTTTTGAATAATGGATGTACATTACTGAAGAAAGCACACTGATTGTAACATATGCTTTTACAGCCTTAACAACTTGGAATATTTAATTTGATACATCACCTCAAGAAGATAATTCTTAAATGTCTTAAAGTTTTAGTCAACATACCCTATGTACCCAGTGAAACATGTATGATATACATATTTTCTTGTCAGATTTGGAACTTGAGTACAATTTATGTACCCACTAAGCAATATCCTTTGTCAATATTGCTAAATTTTTCTCTATTCAGTTCTAAAACCTTGTTGGGAATTGCACCTGTATAAACAAGTTTTTAATGACATTTAAAACTGAC